CTTATGAAGCAATTTTAGTCTTTGCTACTTATATAGGATCATCGTATGGGCAAGCCATACCTATGGCAAAAAAGGAACTATTTATCAAGCTCGATTGAGACATAGCATAATATGTTGAAATTTACAAGTGGCCGATACGAAATAGATAGATTATTTGCGTTACAGGTCGATACTATAATTCCGCAAACATTCCTGGACCGCACAGTGGGTTTTCCGAAAAACCATGATTCTTCAGGTATTAAACATATTTAAAAATCTTTAACAAAACAAACGTGTTGATCTCTTTTATTGAGGTCTTCTCGAGTTACAAGTCGATAGTAACTCAAATAACATAGCATAATAGGTAATCACGAGACGAACGGACTGTCAGTCAAATCTCACACAACTTTAGTAGTAAGAATTACTTGGTGTTGAAAAATGATAGATATGTCGGATTTATGCTGTTAACGATTCTATATTTAATCAAGCTGTGGCAGGCAACAGAAAATTAATTTTTCACGAAATTGAACAATGTCATACACAAACACAGTCTATATTCTGAATCTGCACACCGTCCGGTATCTATCTGTGAAAATATTTCTTAATTTGGATCGATGACTTTCGAGAAAAAGAATAAAAAATTTTTCTAATTGATTCTTCGAATGGCGATGTTTAGTACAGTGAGTGCGCGAAAGTTAGCGAAGGTCCAAACTCCACGGAGCTTTGCCAAAATTTTCTTCTACCTACTTTTTGCCATCCTTATTCGCACAAACTAGTGCAAACATCCCTGGACCGCACAGTGAGTTTCCCGAAAAACCATGGTTCTTCAGATATTTCTCAATTTTCTCGGCTCAGAAGCACTTTTATTCGAAAATAAGGCCATATTTGAGATCAGCGCAATAAACTACATCGAGTAAGCTGCTTGTCTAAGTAACGGTGCCCTTTTTTCGCTCTTTTTCAAAAATTATTGCAGTAAAGCTACAAACTAATCCAAAATTGCAAATAGATAATAAAGCAGACTAAGTATTTCTCTATAAAATGAAAAGTGTCTCGGCTCTGAAGGTTTGTTACGCTATGGAAATACAGCTGTTGTACAAATAGTCCAAACGATCGATTTTGGGGCTATTTGAAAAAATGTGTCTAAAAGATTAAAGACAAACAACCGAAAATTCAACAAGTATACCAATTTGTAGGAAACTGTTTCTTCTGCAAGATGTGATAGCTTTTCAACTTCGAAACTATTCTAATTAGTCTGTATTAATCAAAGAAACTTCAGAAAAACCGTGACGCTGTGACGCTTTTGTCTCAGTTAGTTTGTAGCTTTATTGCAATAATTTTTGAAAGAGACCGAAAACAGGGCACCGTTAGCTGAACAAGCCGTAAGGTATAAAATTTGGTTCGAAAAAGAAGCTTTTCGAATTTGTTTGTTTTTGATTGATATGAGTTTCTGGATGCTCGAAAGTCATTTTTATGGGAGAGGAATCACGACAATAAAAAATTCATGTCTGTCTGCTTTGTAGAAAAAGCATACTGTGTCTCGATCGGGTTAAGTCGTCATGTCTGTAGTTAATATGTCATTACATCTCTGGGTCCCACACATATTGAACTGCTGATCACTAGCGAGACACTGTGAGACACACATGACGACTTTAACATAACCTGACCCCGAGATTTACTGATATATGTTGACTACAGACATGACAACCCAACCTGATACCTGAAACCGTACAGATAACAAATGCTCTTTAATTCCCAACATCGGATCTTAGCGTGTTAAAATTCTATTAATTTAGTGCATAGCGAGAATTTTAATAAAAAACTATAGAATGTAACCTGTTTCAAATAGAATTCTGAGGAATATGTAAGTAGACAGATCGAACTATTATGGAATGAGAAAATGCGATCTTTTCAGCTTTTTCGAGTTCGAAATTCAAATTATCAGCAGGTTTTTGAAAAACTCCCTCGACACAAAGATCCTTAAGAATCACATTCTGTACAAGTAACAAGTAAAAACGACTTGTAAAAAACTGGAGATTTTGCTAGGGGTGTCTTGTAATCTCCCAAGCAAAACTAAGTAAGCGAGAAAATCTAGCTGCAGAAGTAGCTGCAGTGCCCACTTACAGCTAGATTAACTAGATTAAAAGGTACATTTATCTAGCTGCATGCTGGTTGAAATTGTGTACTAGCTGAAACAGTCACTGGGCCAATTAATCGAGCAGTGAATTGCCCGATTAATCGATAGCAACTAGTTGTACCCAATTGAAACTAGCTTCAATCTAGCTGAAGCTAGATAAAATTTTCATGTATTTCTGTGCAGCTAGCTGAAGCTAGATAAATGTACCTTTTAATCTAGATGCAGCGCCCGCTTCATGATTTTTTTTGTGCTTGGGATAGTTTTTGCATCTTTCGCTCAAGGGGTCTTCTAATATGTCCACCCATTCGATTGATGATACCGACTCTGCCCCGATAACTGTATCACTAATCGACACTTTCGAAAGAGTCGTCTCAGAGATGAAACTGTCTCTGAAATATTTTAACATTATCCAAAAAGAAAACTGGCCTGGAAAAACTACTGATGCCCTACAGTATTATTTTAATACAAATAGTTAATAGCTATTAAACGTTATGTACAAGTGTCGATGTCTTGTGCCTGTTATACATACTCTAATTATAGGCGAATGCGAGAAAATAATTCATTATTTGTAGCAACTTATGATATAACAGCAAAATAAAAATAATCGTAGATAAACCAATTTACTGACACTGTCGCGAGATGTGACATTATATCGGTTTTGCAGCCCGAACTTTGCATGATGCTATAGGATCTAAACTAATTTCATAATTTTTGTCTAGTTTATCAACTTCTTATAATATGGTTGTATGCAGGATGAAATATCATCAGGTGGCTCACTCTTACATCTTGCTCACTTTCCCCGAGTGTAGTGGTATGGTGTCATAAAAATTCTCATCTATTCGCTTTTACCCTCATATCATCTGTATGTTAACATGCACACCGTACACAGTGAACAACGATTGGGGCATTTGGAAAAAAGTCCAAACCGTGCTTTTTTCTGACTTGAGCAAGACTAATATATTTTAAGCTATGTTCTATTTAATGGCATAATTTTTTTTATTTCACGTCTCTTGGTTCGTCGGAAAACTCATAGTCAAAAATTAGCTGAAAAGCACTCGCCTATGGAAAAATTCGAGTTTCCACAAGTTTCCACAATTTTATTTTTACTTAATACCACATTAAAATGTTCCTCTTTGTATCGTGCATCGATGGTGCATACACCTTTATGCAGCTCTTTTCTAAGCTAAGAATGAGTTTTCCAACATACCTTGTTTTTAGTTAAAATCCAGTTTTCTCAGTCTAGAAGCACTTATATTAAATAGTAAAGTGATATTCGGAATCGGGGCAAAAGACTGCATCTAATCATGCGTCAAGCAATACATTTTTAAACAAAAGTTGGTTTTGGTAACATTACGTTTTTTGATGCTCTTGTATACAATGTCCTGAACTTCGAAAATACTTTTTCATGTAATGTTTGGGATGCTGAATCCCAAGAAACTGTTTCAAAGCTGCGAAATATAATGGAAATCCACGCGATCGCCCCCTTTTCTACTGAGAGATGGGGTTTTTTCGTTTTCCGCGTCTTTTCTGTTTTTTGGCGCTTTTCACTGCGAAAAAAGAGTCTGGGAAGATTTTAAAGATGATATTCGGATACAACTCGCTCTCCTCTATCCGAATGCGTCTGTTAAATGCAAAAATAAAATAGTCCTTAAACTTTGAACTTTGGAAACTTACCTAGACTAGTTTTGAAGATGTTTACTGGTTATTAATCATAAATAGATAAAAAACTAAATCTCAATGTGCTTGGCTAATGTATATATTTGGATTCAATAAACCGGTTACTTTCTTTCGCTAATGCTCTCCTAGCGAAGGAAGTGTTATAATTAGTCTTAGTTATTAATTAGTCTATTAATAATAAATGATTATTGTTTACACGAGTAAATATAAAGATTATTGTTATTATACCAAAAATGACACCGTATACTGTAGAGGAAAAGATCGAAAAAAAGTTACAAGTACACTGTTTGTCACTAGTTCGCCTCAACTTCATATAGGCATCAGCAATCATTGTCTCAAACAAATGTTCAGCTGGTTATTTAACTTTCACGATGTGTTAACGTGAGTTGATGCTAGGTTATTAAGTAGCGTGCTTAACAAAAATGTTCATTGCTCATCACTATTCATACCCTTTTCACCAGATAAACAGTGTAGTAACCTTATCCGATATTCTTTTTACAGTATACGGTGTCACTTTTGTTATAATAATAATAATTTTTTGCCTAGTCTATACTTATGGATTCAGTAAACCGATTACTTTTATTTCGCTAATGATCTCCTAATAAAGGAAGTGTTATAATTAGTCCGCTTCCTCATTCAATTTAATATAGATAAATAGAAAAAGAAGATTTGCACAACAAACAGCAGGTATTGATGAGATAAAAAAATTATTGTATTTAAGCAACTCTTGAACATTTGACTGATCAGACACATCATAAAATGTTTGCAACAAAGAAAACAGAGCACAACAATTATTGTTGATAGAATATGTATTCTACATGGAACTTATAGAAATATGACTTCTTTCGTCTACTATAGCGGTCAATATTTTTATATGTATCGATATTTTAGTGTGAATCATTATAACAAATCTCAAAGGATCTTTTATATAATTTTTTTAGATCAACTATGACTGTGCTACAATAAAAACGTGTTTTTGAATACACACCTGGGTAGTTAACTACAGATGAACGGTCTACATAGTCACGCTTCTTCTTTTCGTGTACAATATTCGTTTCTTTTGTTTTGGTTCATAATTTTTTATAAAAGTACAAATTCTCTGCTTATGCACATTATATTTGAATATTTTTACTACTATTGCCACAAGGATACATTTAAAAACTTTGGTATCAATAAAATAAGAGTGTACAGTCGATCATTATGCCATTTTTCACTGAATTCTTACATCAGCACATCCGCGGAATGTTTCTTGGGGTCCATAACCCATTCCTTCTTTCCCTTCACTGCTTCCCCATCGATTTGCACATGTCCAGTCCCATTGTAGAACACATCGATCACATCTAAGACCATCAGGCAATTTTAATTTGAATGTATAGGCAGGTAAATCCCAACCAGGTGCTATGTTTTGCGTATAGGTACCAGGTATATCCCATCGATAAGGTGATGTTCGTGGTGTAGGCGATTCAATTATTTCAAGTGGATGTTGATCAAGACACTGTTGTGTTACTTCCACATTATTATTTGTAACTGGACAAATCTTGAAATAAAACCATCCCATATGATTGGCCATCATTTCAACCCGAACATCAATTAGCGAACCAGCTTTATAATTATCAACAATTGTTGCTGTAAAATATTTTCCAGATGGTGCTTCATTATTTCGAGGACCATCGATTGCATCCCCACAAACTCCACACTGACCTCCCATTGACCAGTGGTGCTAATAGGCAAAGTTAAATTCAAAAAGCCTTGTGAAAACATTTGTGACTACTTACATACCTGATAACCACCGCAGTTCAATTCCCAATCATTATAATTGATTGGGGTATTGAAACCTAGCTGCCATGCTGAAGATCGACTAGGCGGTCTAGCTAAACGACCATGGCCGTAAACAACAATAAATACTGTGCTAACACAAAACAAGAATCTTAGCATTTCAAAACCTATTTACTGCTTACACACTCTTTTCGTCCGAAAAGCAAATGAAAGCACATGCACTGATTCTCAATAAGTATGTAATTGTCGTTTAGCCGATGGGAATATATTCAGTAAGAACATAATGTCCTATTTCAACTAATGAGTTATATAATGCGACACATATATTACTTTATGACCTCACGATCAGTGACAATTCAAATCATTGTCAAAATGCTATATGTCACTTGTTTTGCAGCTTTAATTTTACGTGAACATAATAAGAAAATGCTTTGCATAAACAACAGCAGTAGATCCGATCGTACATCGATAGATATCAAAGTCTACTGAAAACCGATGCTATTATGAGCGGTGTGAGAAAAAGTCAAAACTAGCAAGATTGTCGTTATAACTATTGGATTTGTTTTCTCCATTTTCTCCTATAATCGTCATGAAATTATCTGTGGAGAGATCCTTTAGATAGTCAGCTTCCGATAAACCTTGATATCTAAAGCTGTAATGTTGGTAATATAAGTTATATAAGTCATCTATCCATGATGTCTGTTTAAAGGTATCTAGAAAATTCCTTTGAGAATATCACACATGTTCATCGAACAAGAACAATTCGAAAGGACATTCAAAAGCTAATACAAAATAAGATGTAAGACAACGTCATAAAAGGTCTCCCCTATTTTATTTTCGAGTCTATTAATATCTAAGCATCACGTTTCTTCAGCTTTTGCTAGTTTTAAATGAATCCACGAAAAAGTACTGAATGGCATTCGGCACTAATCATCAAATACGGACTACGTTGACGCTTTCACAAACAAGCTTGAGATTCTTAAGCCAATACCTACCAGAGGTGGGACCGGTTCGGTTTGAGTTTTTCGTAAATCGGTTCGGTTCGTTAACTTTTGGGTGTCCGCTGACGTTCACATATGTTACTAGGATGCCCTGGTAATCGCAGTTCTAAAATGCGAGCAAAATAATGCACATTCACAAATATAGTTATTAAGGATACTCCTCTTCCTTTGAGCTATTTAGGCGAACTTTCAATGTAACAAAGCAGATGAGAGTTGGTAAGACTAAGACTGTTTTATTCACGAAAAGTGAGAGTCATCAAAGGTCACCGACCTGTAATAATAATGACTCAAACACACTGAGAACGGTTCGAAAGGTAAGAAGATAGAAGAGACAATAAAGAATTACGCATACTACAACGAGATAGTTTTTCTAACAAGAGAGAATGGAGAACAGAGTCAAATGCTTTAGAAAAATCAAAAGACACACCAACACACTTCACACCAGCATTCCAAAACTTAAAGATGATTGAAGATAAAAACAAGAAAGCATCCAGAGTAGAATGTTCAGGGCGAGAACCGAACTGTTTGTTTACAAAAAAAGAGTGTTTAGCGAGATGAGAAAAAATAAAATTATAAATTAGACGTTTAGAAACAACAGGAAGAAGTGAATTAGGGCGATTGTTAAAAATATCGGCATAGTCATTTTAATAGACATAACAAACAAACAACAAAAACTTTTTCATATCACCGGAACAAAAAAAATAAAGTTGGTTTAGAGTTGCTGAAAAGTGATTTTTCGTATTCAGCACACTCGATAACCCAGAAGATTTTCTATTTTGGGCTCAGGGTACTTCCGAAAGTTTAAGAAAAAAGTTTTCCATGGAAAAGTAATATTAATTTGAAAACTTTTCCTAAACTTTCAGAAGTACCTCAGGTCAAAAACAGAAAAGACGAAAAATTACAGTGACTATGATTATAATAAATACAAATTGTAAAAAACATTATGCACACAGACTGATAGCTAAAATGGACGAAGAAAAAATTAAACAATAAACAATAAGTTACTGTTTCTGTGTTTTACTTATGCTTAAGTAGAAATTCAACAAAAAACACACCAATGGACAAAATATATTCAATAAAGAATATTGCTATAGCATCGACTGTAACATGAATCTGTATTTGAAAATATGCAAGTAAAATAGCAGTGTACAGTAAGCTCTATATCAACGATCAAGTTTTTCTCTACATTAGTCCAAAAGGGTCTCCACGGTGAAAATTTCTTAAGTCTTCTTATGTGGAAAATCTATAGTAAGCATCCGCAGTAAGCATCATAATAAGAGCTCAACGAAGGACAATATCTCGATCCAGGGTATGGAGTACTTCAATATGAACGTGGGGACTTCTAAATCTAGTTATAACTACGCAGTTTCTCTACTGTAAAATATCTGGCACCCTCTAATCGGCAAACCATGACTTGCCATAACCATCGTCAAGAAAAAAAACAAATTAACGGCAGTTGCACAGTAATACCTCAATAACTACGGTTTTAATAATTAAGTAAACTTACTTAAAATTTTTTTAAATAGGCTGAGAAATCTGATTTCCTTACTAGAAAACTAATAATATTAGATAGCTTATAGTAGTAAAATCTTCGCGGGAAATTCACCGGAGGTAACCTATATCTCATAGTGCACTCCAATCTGCTATTGATTGATGAGTCATCACATCACTGACCACATACTATAAAAAGAGAGATGTGTGGACAAAGTGTCTAAAGACGAATTGACGAATCGCCATTTTTTAAGCGTAAAAATGATGCAACAATTCGCGTTTTACCCTTATTTTGTGAATTCGTACCGAATTGATGCGAACTGTATCGAATTCGTACGGATACTCTTAAAAACTTTTACGAATTCTTCTTGCGAATTCGTAAACAGAGAATAGATCAAACACGATGCTGATCAATTCGCAAAT